AACATGTTCAGATGCATGTCGAAATATATCCATATTGATTTGTTCATGGACAACTTGACATACTACTTCGTTTCTACGGTCGCGTATCGATTCACATATGTTTTTATTGGCTGGCAGCCAAGAAACGTTCACGGCATCAGTTCAAGAAGCTACCACTTGCGCTGCCTGCGATCGATCTTGATGGTGTATATGGGAACGGGGAGAACCTATTTTTGGACGAAGATGATATCGAAAACACAAAGGTAAATGGGAATATATGTGAAAACACCACGGCGTATGCGAATACGAAGGGTACTACCAGGCATCAAAGTTCAGCCTGTGGGATCCGCCCTCAGAAACCAGACTCGAAGATCGGACTTGAAGGACCGAGTACGGATTCAACTACCAACCGCTACTATGACAGAAGCCTCCCATCAAAGGTGTACCAAACGGAAAAGTCTAGATGGAATGAGGAAAACGACTGCGGTCGACAGATGCGTACGCCACTGTCTCATATATCAGGGCGCCGAAAACCGCGCGGCGCCGAGTCACACGCGTATTCCAGCGTGGTGAAGCGATACGCAAAAATACCACTCCCGCACACACAGGTACAGTATGATGTATTGATGGTGATGGTGGTGATCATCGCTGCAGACTGTTTGTCTGTATGTTTGTTCCGGTGCTTAGCATGTGTCGTCTTGTGCTTAGCATGTGTCGTCATAAGGATGTTGCTGCAGAGGTATTACCTTAGATGTATTGCAACGAAAGTGTGTGTTTGTCGGTGCGTGCTATGTATGCAAAGCAACGCAGGTGCGTACGTATGTGTCTGCATTTATATAGGCGCCGAGTGAGCACAATAAGAAATACAACATATTGAATGTTCTACTTATTCGTGTGCAAATCTTGCGATACCCACACAGGCTTCTATTGATCTCCGAATTTCCTCTCCCATTTTCTTCTTCATTTCCTATGGACCGGGCAGTTGCCGCAGAGGCCTCTTTCTCTGTCTCAAACCAGCGTTGCCAGCAGTCACGTCAGCCAGGGCAGTGCAGCATCCACATGTCAACACAGCCTACACACCCAGGAGCACCCCTCCACCCACACCCACCCACACATCCACGCACATACGTGCTCACACTCTCCCACAAACCACGTGTCTCGATGGAGCAAATATCTCCCGGATAACGAGCGTGTACTTGTCTCTCCAGAGTCTTCGCCGGATATGGGCTTCTCATCGCAGCGTATGCGGTTCTCACAGTTGCAGTCGCAGGCACAATCACAGTCACGGCCAGAGCCGCCGGCAAGCACGCAGAGTTTATGCCAGGCCGATGTGCAGGTATTGACATGCTGATGTATTGTGCGCTTTAACGAGAACACTGGGCTTCATTTGTGTTGATATATGTGGTAATGGATTCTGGCTCTGCGCGTATGAAGAGGTTTTAGGTAGACAATATAAATAGATATATATATATATATACACGCGCGCACACACACACACACACACACACACACACACACACACACACACACACACACATA